TTTTTTCTGGCCACTCTTCCATAAAGCCCAGCTCTGTGGAGTGTACGGCTTAAAGTGGTCCTATGGACAGATACTCCAATCTCCACTGTGGAGCTTTGCAGCTCCTTCAGGGTTATCTTTGGTCTCTTTGTTGCCTCTCTGATTAATGCCCTCCTTGCCTGGTCCATGAGTTTTGGTGGGTGGACCTCTCTTGGCAGGTTTTTTAATAATGGATTTAATGGTGCTCCGTGGGATGTTCAAAGTTTCTGATATTTTTTTATAACCCAACCCTGATCTGTACTTCTCCACAACTTTGTCCCTGACCTGTTTGGAGAGCTCCTTGGTCTTCATGTTGCCGTTTGCTTGGTGGTGTTGCAGACTCTGGGGCCTTTCAGAACAGGTGTATATATACTGAGATAATGTGACACTTAGATAGCACACAGGTGGACTTTATTTAACTAATTATGTGACTTCTGAAGGTAATTGGTTGCACCAGATCTTATTTAGGGGCTTCATAGCAAAGGGGGTGAATACATATGCACACAACACTTTTCCGTTATTTATTTTTTAGAATATTTTGAAACAAATTATTTTTTTCACTTCACCAATTTGGACTATTTTGTGTATGTCCATTACATGAAATCCAAATAAAAATCCATCTAAATTACAGGTTGTAATGCAACAAAATTGGAAAAACGCCAAGGGGGATGAATACTTTTGCAAGGCACTGTACACACACACGTGCGTAAGTAGGTGGGCATACATATGGGTATACAGTACACTGCAGTGTTCTTCTCCGAAAGAGAAGCCCGACATCTTACGAGTTTCAACCCAACTTTGCTATATCGTGACTTTTACAGTGTTTATCTTTACTTTTTTTGTACAGAAAGTTCACACTGCCAAGTACTTCTGGACATCAGATCGACAGTTACTAACCTCAATTTTGACTTCAAAGACAACTTCAAGTCCAACTCAGGTGTTCTACTGTTCATACCGGACCCTATTCCTTTGATCCATGGGCTACCAAAACACTGCAGGCGTAGACGCAGGAGATGAGGTGGAGTCCTGGTGAAATTGAGGTGAAGAGAAAACCGAACGGCTATCCCCTCCGTTCTATTGGCAAATGTCCAGTCACTCGACAATAAGGTGGATGAGCTTCGTTCGAGAGTCTCCTATCAGAGACACTTGAAAAGCTGAAATATTATATGTCTTACTGAAACGTGGCTATGCACGTAGTACTCAGTGTATTCTCCATGCAGCGGCAGGATCGGACGGCGGCTTCTGGGAAGTCGAAAGGAAGTGTGCTGCTTCAAGTGTGAAGGAAATCTCTAGCTTTTGCTCACCTGATATACTGTAGAATACCCTTTTGTAAGCTGCAGACCCTTTTATCTACCAAGAGAGTTCTCATCCATAATTATCACCGCTTGCCACATCCTTCCACAAGCCAACACCACTCTGGCAGTCAACAAACTGTATTGGGCCATAAACAAACAAGAAACTGCTCATCCAGAGGCAGTTTTTCTGGTGGGTGATGACTTTAACGGGGTGAGACTTAAAACCGTCCTACCTCACTTCTACCAACACGTCTCCTGTGCCACTAGGGGCGCTAAAACTCAAGACCATTTTTATTCTACCCACAGAAATTTATACAAGGCCCTACCTCGTCCTCCCTTTGGCAAATCTGACCATGTCTCCATTCTCCTGCTTCCTGTTTCAAACAAAAGCTCAAGCAGGAAGTACCGGTGATGCGCTCACTACAGAAGTGGTCGGATGAAGCAGATGCGAGGCTACAAGACTATTTTGTTAGTACAGACTGGGATATTTTCCGGGATTCATCCGATAGCATTGACGCGTTTACAGTCATGGGCTTCATCAATAAGTGCATAGACGATATTGTCCCCACAGTGACTATAAGAACGTATCCAAACCAAAAATCATGGATTACAGGCAATATCCAGGCTGGGCTAAAGGCTAGAGCTACCGCTTACAAGGAACGGGCCACGGACATGGATGCAAGAAAGCCCGCTACGACCACCGACGAGACATCAAACATGCAAAATGACAATATAGGAGGAAGGTGGAATCCTATTACACCGGCTCCGACGCTCATCGGTATGTGGCAAGGCTTGCAGACGATAACAGATTACAAAGGGAAACCCAGCCATGAGTTGCCCAGCGATGCAGAACTCGCAAACTAGCTAAATGCCTTTTATGCTCGCTTCGCGGAATATAACACTGTGCCTTGCGGGAAAGCCCCTGTTTTTCCAGATTGCTGTGTGATCTCGCTCTCAGTGGCCGATATGAGCAAAACGTATAAACAGGCATTACCACGAGACCATCCTACCCAATTAAGGTACCACCAACCTCCTGTGATGTACCTACAGTATCTACCTCAAATGCCTCATACCTATGCACATTGATCTGGTACTGGTACTCTAGCTCCATTCATGTGTATTATTTTTCTTGTTAGAGTTTTATTTGCATTATTATTTTAAAACTCTGCATCGTTGGGAAGAGCTCGTAAGCAAGCATTTCACGGTAATGTCTACACCAGTTCTATTTGGCGCATGTGACAAATAAAATGTTATTTGATGTGTACGCACATATGGACGCACACCCACCGGTAAAACATACATTTAAATATGAGAATACTTCATTCCACAATGCTATACAGTGCATTCGGAAGGTATTCAGACCCCTTGACTTTATCCACATTTTGTTACGTTACAGCCTTATTCTGAAATTGAGTAAATCGTTACCTCTTACCAATCTACACACAACACCCAACCATTACAAACCAAAAACAGGTTTTTAGACATTTTAGCAAATGTATAAAAAATAAAAAACTGAAATATCACATTTACATAAGTATTCAGACCTCAGTACTTTGTTGAAGCACCTTTGGCAGCGATTAGAGCATCGAGTCTTCTTGGGTATGATGCTACAAGCTTGGCAAACATGTATTTGGGGAGTGTCGCTGCACAGCTATTTTAATCTCTCTCCAGAGATGTTCGATCGGGTTCAAGTCGGGGCTCTGGCTGGGCCACACAAGGACATTCAGAGACTTGTCCCGAAGCCACTCCTGTGTTGTCTTGGCTGTGTGCTTAGGGTCATTGTCCTGTTGGAAGGTGAACCTACGCTCCAGTCTGATGTCTTGAGTGCTCTGGAGCAGGTTTTCATCAAGGATCTCTCTGTATTTTGCTCTGTTCATTGCCTCGATCCTGGCTAGTCTCCCAGTCCCTGCCGCTGAGAAACATCCCCACAGCATGATGCTGCCACCACCATACTTCACCGTAGGGATGGTGCCAGGTTTCCTCCAGACGTGACGCTTGGCATTCAGGCCAAAGAGTTCAATCTTGGTTTCATCAGACCAGAGAATCTTGTTTCTCATGGTTTGAGAGTCCTTTAGGTGCCCTTTGGCAAACTCCAAGCGGGCTGTCATGTGCCTTTTACTGAGGAGTGGCTTCCGTCTGGCCACTCTACCATAAAGGCCTGATTGGTAGAGTACTGCAGAGATGGTTGTTCTTCTGGAAGGTCCTCCCATCTCCACAGAGGAACTCTGGAGCTCTGTCAGAGTGACCATCAGGTTCTTGGTCACCTCCCTGACCAAGGCCTTTCTCCCCCGATTGCTCAGTTTGGCCGGGTGGCCAGCTCTAGGAAGAGTCTTGGTGGTTCCAAACTTCTTCCATTTAAGAATGATGGAGGCCACTGTGTTCTTGGGGACCTTCAATGCTACAGTACTTTTTTGTACCTTTCCCCAGATCTGTGCCTCGACACAATCCTGTCTCTGAGCTCTACGGACAATTTCTTCGACCTCATGGCTTGGTTTTTGCTCTGACATGCACTGTCAACTGTGGGACCTAATCATGTCCAATCAATTGAATTTACCACAGGTGGACTCCAATCAAGTTGTATAAACATCTCAAGGATGATCAATGGAAACAGGATGCACCTGAGCTCAATTTCGAGTCTCAAAGCAAACGGTCTGTATCTTTATGTAAATAAGGTATTATTTTTATTTTTTTAAATAAATTGTTTTTGCCTTGTCATTATGGGGTGTTATGTGTAGATTGATGAGATACAAATATATTTTTTATCCATTTTAGAATAAGGCTGTAACATAACAAAATGTTTTTAAAAAATCAAGGGGTCTGAATACTTTTCGTATGCATCCATTGTCAGAAATGTTGGTAAATTAGCTTTTATTGTTTAAAGAAATCATGAAAGAGATTGGTGTGTTTTTTCACTATCTAATCATGGCATGTGGTTGTATAATGACAGTCATGTATAAAAATATATATATATAACTTAATAATTTCATTTCAGAGAGACAAATAATCATGTTTCTTTGCAAAATGCTAAGTAGTACTTCTAGGTTTTACACAGTCACATTTAACAAATAACTTCATTTTTTATAAAGAACTGTACAAATGATACATTTGTGACATCAATATATTTAAAACAAATTAATAAATAAATAATTCAATACGGTTATATGAGATCTGTATGTAAAACATTTACATTTGACATTTTAGTCATTTAACAGATGCTCTTATCCAGAGCGACTTAAAGTAAGTGCATTCATCTTAGGATAGCTAGGTGAGACAACCACATATCACAGTCAAATATACAGTATACAAACATTAAATTCCAGCAAAACAATGGATATATAGTGTTTTGCAAAAAATTATAATCTTCTTACACATCTAAAATCTATGAATAAAAAAAATCTAACTAATATTTTACACACATGAAGCAATACTTTCTGATCAAAAAACACAAATGTGAAAAATTGGTGGATATAGTGTACAATACTATTTCATTTCCATCCTATGTAGCTTGAGTACATATCATTTTCATATGGTTCCTGACTGAGAAGCCTGAACATGTGCCAGTGTAACAGTAAGTGAGGCCAGGGTAGCGTTCATTAGGCATGAAATGGAAGAAAACAGACTAACATGAAGGGATGATCTGAAGTTGTCCAATAAGAAGCACTCATTTTATTTTCCACTGCAAAATGTTTAATGAACGTGACCCAGATGTCTAACCTTGAGCAGGTAGCGGTCAACAGACTCTCTGTCCAGAGGGGAGTTGACGTAGATCTCTCCATAGGTGTGGTTCACTGTCCGGATCTCAAACACATCCTGCATATTTCCTGCCACCAGACTGAAGGTCACCTTAGAGAGAGAGAGAGACAAAGAGGAGGGGATGGAGTCAGAGTTGAAAAAAGAGAGCAGGTGAAGAGCAGAAAATAGTTCAACTAGGCTTGATAGCTTGGGCATCTCTCTCTCTCTCTCTCTCTCTCTCTCTCTCTCTCTCTCACTCACTCACTCACTCACTCACTCACTCACTCACTCACTCACTCACTCACTCACCAGTCCATTATTCCCGGCATCTTTGTCGCGCCCCAGCACCACAGCCACTCTCTTCCCGATGGGCGTGTTCTCTGGAATCTCCACCGCCGAATCAGATGTGATATCAAACTCAGGACTGTTGTCATTCTCATCCAGTATGGTGATTGACACCTGCCACATGTATAGACACAGCCAATGAGGGATTGACAAGAGGGCTGGAATGCTACATACCTTTTGAATTTAATATGATAAACACGGTATGCTGTTTAAAAATAATTTAAGTACATTTGTGACATACACACACACACACACAAACACTCACAAACTTAATTAAGCTTTTAATTAAAACTTTAAGGCAGGACTCCAGACTGAAGAAGGAAAGCAACACATACCTTCTGCAATTTCCCCATGAGATAGCAGTAACGAGGTGAAAACAAGAATTGTCACTAACTGAATAGATTACAATATCGTTGTATGGTTTATTATTGAAAATAGCAGAGATGGGCAAAGATACTATCTTGTTACAATTACAAAATACTCAAAAGACAAAATACTTCTGCAAAGTGTTGTATTTAATCACAATACAGTTATTTTAGGTAGTGTTGTATTTTCATGCCTTCACTATAACAACATTCTCAGTAAAGGTAACAAAAAAAAGTTTTACTTGCTATGGCTGTGATATGTTGTTGTTTATCTACCCTAGTTGAATGCACTGACTGTAAGTCACTCTGGATAAAAGTGTCTGCTAAATGACCAAAAATAAACAATTGCAAAGCACACTGGGTATTATTATTGGCCTTGTTTTGAGGGCAGAGCTCTTTAGAATAGTGTTCATTTTTACATTTACATTCTGGTCATTTACCAGACACTCTTATCACACCATAGTGACATCAGACATCTGATACCAATGCAGGGTTATTGTTATTTTATTATGTTACTTTTTTTATTTAATTTTTAACTTTTAGTTTATTTACTAAATATTTTCTTAACTGCATTGTTGGTTAAGGGCTTGTAAGTCAGCATTTCATGGTAAGGTCTACACCTGTTGTATTCGGCGCATGCAACAAATACATTTTTATTTTATTTGAAAATCGTGAACCACTTTTTTTATTACATGTCTGAAAAGTATCTTGTTACAAAACACATTGGATTGTAGTTCAGGCAAGTGAAATACAAATACAAAAATACTCAAGTAATTCAAATACATATTTCAAATACATGTAACATAAATACTGTCACTCCCTGATCTGTTTCACCTGTCTTTATGCTTGTCTCCACCCCTCTCCAGGTGTCGCCCATCTTCCTCATTATCCCCAGGGTATTTATACCTGTGTTCTCTGTCTGTTGCCAGTTCGTCTTGTCTCATCAAGCCTACCAGCAGTTTTCCCGTACTCCTGTTTTGCGCTAGTTCCTGTTTTCTATTTTTCCTCGTTTTGACCATTCTGCCTGCCCTGACCCTGAGCCTGCCAGCCGTTCTGTACCTTGTGACACCGCCTTGGATTACTGACCTCTGCCTGCCCTGAGCCTGCCTGCCGTTCTGTACCTTTTGGACTCTTTTGTACCTTTTGGACTACTTTTGTTCTGGATTGCTAACCTCTGCCTGCCCTTGACCTGTCTTTTTCTTGCCCCCCTGTTTTTATAATAAACTTTTGTTACTTCGAAACTGTCTGCATCTGGGTCTTCTCCTGAGCCATGATAAATACTGTCCATCTCTGACAACAGGGAATAAACATTTACAAGCAACTACTGTCAAAACAAGAAGAAAGAAAGAAAGAAAGAAAGAAAGAAAGAAGTAACTGCCGTACCACAGTGGAGTCTTTTTTTGGTCCCCCATCGTCAGCCACTACAGTCAGGGTGTAGAGGTCCCCATTCTCTCTGTCCAGCAGCCCTGTGACTGTGATACAACCCTGGGGATGGACATATAGATGGAGGGAGAAGGAGAAAGAGAGGGAGAACACATTAACAAACCTGATTTATCCTAGTTTGAAATATATACAGTATAATCCTATTCTGAGCAGTGTACAGTATCCAGCAGGGTTGGGGTTCAATTCAGTCAATTCAGGAATAATTATTTTCAATGGAAAATTGGAATTCGATTTGTAGTTACTTCCTGAATTTAAATGGAATTAACCTTAACCCTACTGTCCACTAAGAGTGAAAAATGCTAATATAGTGTTACACCCCATCCTGTCCACCGACTCACCGTGATACTGTCGATCTTGAAGAGGGTTAGGGCGGCTGGCGACGTGTCCGGGTCGAAGCGGTACGACAGCTGGCTGAGGTTGTCCGCCGACTGCGCCTGTACCTGCACCACCTCCGTTCCCGTGGCGATGTTCTCCTGGAGCGACACCTCGTAGCCCGCCGAGAAGAACGCCACTGCCTCGTCCAGCTCGTTAAGTAAGGTCACGTAGACCGTGCAGAAGCCACGATGGAACGGCGGCGCCTGGTTAGTAGCCGACACGTTCATCAGGTAGCTGGTCTTGGTCTCGTAGTCTAGGTAGTCTACAGTGGTCACCAAGCCCGTGCTCACGTCCACATCGAACTTACGGTCGGAGCCGGAGATGATGGCGTAGGCCACCGCCCCGCCGTCACCTGGATGGAGGAGAGGGAGAGGCAGGGAAAGGCATACAGTGAAGGAGGTTGGGAGAAGGGATGCAAAACAGCGAGAGAAGTGAACAAACAAAAGTTGTTTTTTCTTTAAGGCGCAATGCAGCCGTTTTTATCTCAATATCAAATCATTTCTGGGTAACAATTAAGTACCTTACTGTGATTGTTTTCAATTAAAATGCTCAAAAAGAAACAAAAATAGCTTATTAGCAAGAGCAATTTCTCAAAAAACTGAAAACTAGCTGTTATTGGCAGAGAGGTTTGGAGCTATCTTTCTTATTTGTTTATTAACTACTTTACCACCTGGTGATGTCACCAGGCAGGCCAAAACTCCATCCCACCCAGGCTGAAATTTCAGGGGGTATTTTCAAACAGCTCTTACACTAAAAGGGCATTATCATAATTTTCACAATTTCACAGTATTATGCCAACTTCATAGAGTGGAAATATATAGAAAACACAGGAAAATCATGTTTTTGAATGCACTGGGCCTTTAAGTATTTTTCTTGTGTAGAACTGAGTATGTAGTCAGAAATTGTTCCTACACATACCTATCTAAAATGTCCAACCACAATATAACCCAAAATCATTATTCTGCTTTAACAAAGGGACATTTCCAACTTTCCATGACATGTGGGCAGGATATCGTTGTATCCTCAGAGGTGATGTAGACCAAAGTTGCAGTGTTTGGTGACTGTCAACATCACAGCAACAGTCCTCCCACACAGTGTTTATGCTACACATTACAGGATGGGAAGTGAACAGAGGAAGCCCACACAGAATAGCAGAAGTAGAGGGTTAAATGCCACTCAGATTAATGGTGCTCAGCTAAATGCCAGTTTCAGTACCGGGGGCAGACAGAACAATACAACTCAGTATAAAAGCTGTGTGAGAGTCATAAAACACCAATAACTATGGAGGCGGGAAGAGCCCTCTAACACCACAATTCATTGGCTTATTGAGGGACACCCCTGTAGCATGATGTACTACAGTACCCATAATGCTCTGTACAGCATATTCCGTTTTATTTTAGTAAAGATGTTCTGAAGCTGACATAATGTTGTCGTGTCTCCTTATCAATACATACTAGTATGTTCAGTGAATTCGGAAAGTATTCAGACCCCTTGAAATTTTTCACATTTTGTTACGTTACAGCCTTATTCTAAAGTGGATTAAATAAATTAAAAATCCTCAGCTATCCACACACAATACCCCAAAATGACAAAGTGAAAACAGGTCTTTAGATATTTTTCCACATTTATTAAAAATAAAAAACAGAAATACCTTATTTACATAAGTATTCAGACCCTTTGCTGACTCAACATTGAGCTCAGGTGCATGCTGTTTCCATTGATCATCCTTGAGATGTTTCTACACCTGTCTATATAAGGTCCCACAGTTAACAGTGCATGTCAGAGCAAAAACCAGGCCATGAGGTCGAAGGAATTGTCCGTAGAGCTCCGAGACAGGATTGTGCTGAGGCACATATCTGGGTAAGGGTACCAGAAAATGTCTGCAGCATTGAAGGTCCCCAAGAACACAGTGGCCTCCATCATTCTTAAATGGAAGAAGTCTGGATCCACCAAGACTCTTCCTGGCCGCCATGCCAAACTGAGCAATCGGGGGAGAAGGGCCTTGATCAGGGAGGTGACCATGAACCCGATGGTCACTCTGACAGAGCTCTAGAGTTCCTCTGTGGAGATGGGAGAACCTTCCTGAAGGACAACCATCTCTGCAGCACTCCACCAATCAGGCCTTAATGGTAGAGTGGCCAGACGGAGGTCACTCCTCAATAAAAGGCACATGACAGCCCGCTTGGAGTTTGCCAAAAGGCACCTCAAGACTCTCAGACCATGAGAAACAAGATTCTCTGGTCTGATGAAACCAAGACTGAACTCTTTGGTCTGAATGCCAAGCGTCACTTCTGGAGGAAACCTGGCATCATCCCTACAGTGAAGCATGGTGGTGGCAGCATCATGCTGTGGGGATGTTTTTCAGCGGCAGGGACTGGGAGACTAGTCAGGATAGAGGCAAAGATGAACGGAGAAAATTACAGAGAGATCCTTGATGAAAACCTGCTCCAGAGCGCTCAGGACAACAACCCTAAGCACATAGCCAAGACAATGCAGGAGTGGCTTCGGGGCAATTCTCTAAATGTCCTTGAGTGGCCCAGCCAGAGCCCAGACTTGAACCCGATCAAACATCTCTGGAGAGATCTGAAAATAGCTGTGCAGCAACGCTCCCCATCCAACCTGACAGAGTTTGAGAGGATCTGCAGAGAATAATGGGAGGAACTCCCCAAATACAGGTTGCCAAGCTTGTAGCGTCATACCCAAGAAGACTTGAGGCTGTAATTGCTGCCAAAGGTGCTTCAACAAAGTACTGAGTAAAGGGTTTGAATACTTATGTAAATGTGATATTTCAGTTTAAAATCTTTAATAAATTAGCAACATTTTCTAAAATCCAGTTTTTGCTTTGCCATCATGGGGTATTGTGTGCAGATTGATGAGGGGAAAAAAACATTTTAATCAATTTTAGAATAATGCTGTAACCTAACAAAATGTGGAAAAAGTCTTCAAATAGCCACCCTTTGCCTTGATGACAGCTTTGCACACTCTTGGCATTCTCTCAACCAGCTTCATGAGGTAGTCACCTGGAATGCATTTCAATTAACAGCTGTGCCTTCTTAAAAGTTAATGTGTGGAATTTATTTCCTTCTTAATGTGTTTTAGCCAATCAGTTGTGTTGTGACAAGGTAGGGGGGGTATACAGAAGATAGCCTTATTTGGTAAAATACAGAGTCCATATTATGGCAAGAACAGCTGAAATAAGCAAAGAGAAATGACAGTCCATTACTTTAAGACATGAATGTCAGTCAATATGGAACATTTCAAGAACTTTTAAAGTTTCTTTACGTGCAGTCGCGAAAACCATCAAGCGCTATGATGAAACTGGCTCTCATGAGGACCGCCACATGAATGGAAGACCCAGAGTTACCTCTGCTGCAGAGGATAAGTTCATTAGAGTTACCAGCCTCAGAAATTGCAGCCCAAATAAATGCTTCACAGAGTTCAAGTAACAGACACATCTTAACATCAACTGTTCAGAGGAGACTGTGTGAATCAGGCCTTCATGGTCAAATTGCTGCAAAGAAACCACTACTAAAGAACACCAATAAGAAGAAGTGTGCAAAGTGTGCAAAGCTGTCATCATGGCAAAGGGTGGCTATTTGAAGAATCTCAAATATAAAATATATATTGATTTGTTTAACACTTTTTTGTTACTACATGATTCCATATGTGTTACTTCATAGTTTTGATGACTTCACTATTATTCTACAATGTAGAAAATAGTAAAAATAAAGAAAAATCCTTGAATGAGTAGGTGTGTCCAAACTGTACTGTATGCACTGATCTACCGTGGGCTCTGCCGCCTGTTCTAAAACTTTTGACCGGTAGTGTACATTACACTTTATTTATTATCAATAACACCAGCTTGTACAGAGGATTATGGCTACTACAGTATTGTTACACTACAACACCCACCGGTGTCGGGGTCGGTGGCTCGGACTACGATGACAGAGGTGCCAATGCCAGCGGTCTCCCTCAGGCCCAGGCGGTTGTACTGCTGCTGGGTGAACACTGGTGGCTCGTCGTTGGCGTCCTCCACATACACTATCACCTGTAGGGGGAAGACAGAGACACTGGGAGTCAAAGAAGTATAACTGGACAAATACTCACAAGTTCACAGGTGCCCTCTACTGCCCTATCTTATACCCCTACAGCCCTCTACCTTTTGTCCCATACTCTGCTCCAGCCGTATACTCTAATATGTCCTGTCCCACACCCTCTCATCTCCCAATACACTACCCTCTCCTTTATGTTATTTTCTAAATCCTGCCACATATCCTCTCCTTTTTCCTCCCCCATGTATAACCCCAACAGTCTCATCTTCTATGTCCTGCCATGTCCCCTCTTCCCTCCTCTCCTCCCTCTTTCTCCATCCCCTCTCCCTCTCCCTCCCCCATCTCCCCGCCTCACCCGTACAGAGCTCCTCATCCTGCCCTGGTCTCTATTGTAGGCCTCCACCTCTAGCCCTGTCCCCTCTCCCTTCGCCTGCCCTCCCCCCTCTCCTCCCCCTCCCTTTTCACTTCTCACCCGTATGGAGCTCCTCACCTCCAGCCCTGTCCCCTCCCTTCCCCTCCTCTGTCCTCTCTCCCTTCCCCTCCTCTGTCCTCTCCCCAGTCTCCCACTACCCTCCCCTGTATCATCCTCCCCTACTCACTCATATGGAGCTCATTATCCTGCCCTGGTCACTGTTGTAGGCCTCCACCTCCAGTCCTATCCCCTCTCCATCCCCTGTCTCCCCTCCTTCCCTGTCCCCCTCTCCCTCTCTTTCCTCCTCACCCCTCCTGCTCTACTTACCCGTATGGAGCTCCTCATCCTGCCTTGGTCTCTGTTGTAGGCCTCTACCTCCAGCACGTGGGAGCTGCTGCTCTCTCTGTCCAGAGCCGTCTGGCCCCGTGTCACGAGCCCTGACGACTCATTGATGCTGAACATATTTTTACTGTTTCCTACGAATGCAGACAGAGAGAGAGATAGGGAGACACACACACAGATAGAGAGAAAGGGAAGGTGGGGTGGGGTGGGGGTGGGGGGGGGGGGGGGGGGGGGGGGGGGGAGGAGGGGTGTGAGAGAGGGAGAAATGGAAAGAGAGATGTTAGCTGGGGGTTAAGAGTGATCGAGTGCAGGATGGCCATGAGGGTATTGATATACATTCAAATATTAATACTGGAATATCACCAACATTGTAATTGGAATCTATCCAACTCAAGTGTTACCCACTTGATACTGCATCTTGTATCATTGAGCTTTCAAATGGCTAATACAGTATGCCTTCAAATAAACAGTTATGATTATGCATGCAGGGTATGATTAGCGTGCAGGGTTGTTGTTGACAGTCTTTTGTGTTTACTTGTTTGTGTGCGGTGAGGGCTGAGAGCAAGTGTGAAAAGTATCTCCACCTGGCGACTGAGAAGTTGTACTCACCAGAGAGGATCTTGTATAGAACCCTGCCGTTCTCCCCCTGGTCTGCATCTGTGGCCTGCACCTGCACAGACAAACACAGATTTTTTTTTTACACATATTAATAGCACAGACATATGCAGCCATTATACTCATTTACAACCACAGCGACTTGAAACCACACAAATAGTTCAACATAGCTACATAAACATTTACACACACACACACACACACACACACGAACACAGGCATGCACACAGACACACACGCTGACATTCATATGTACATACTGTACATGTACACTCTTAGAGGTGCTATCTAGAACCTAAAATGGTTCTGTCTGTCTGTCTCTGTCTCTGTCTCTCGCGCTCTCTCTCTCTCTCTCTCTCGCTCTCTCTCTCGCTCTCTCTCTCGCTCTCTCTCTCGCTCTCTCTCTCGCTCTCTCTCTGTGTGTGAGAAGAGAGGTGCCCTGCTTCAGTCTCATTAGCTTTATAAAGAAATGAGGAGGAGGGGAGACAGGAGAAAAGAGAGTGGGGTGTCAGATTGGTGAGTGATGAATAGGATATTCCACAGTGGACCGCAACACTTTGGCTATAAAAGGGGTGCAGAACTTCCCAGTCCGTGTTACTAAGCCTAGATGTTGTGATTGTAAACATTTGCAGTGTTAGTGCTCTTAGATGGTGTTGGAAATGGCCCATTGTTTTAGGCTCTCCCAGTTGAAAACAAAGAGACAATGTTTTGCTCACCATCCTGTTAACCCCTTGTCCTCTCTGTCCCCTCTTTCTTCCCTGTGCGTTCCCTAACACTCTCTCAAAGAGGCAGGGAGAAAAGAGGACGGAAAAAGTTGATACTGGAAGTGACTGAAGAAGGTAAAGAGCATATTCGAGTGTGTGTGTATAAAATGTGCAAATGTGTTTATCAAATATATGTGTTTGCTGACATGGTTACATGTGGTTTTTTTTTGTGTTTTTTTTTTTTTTTGGGGGGGAGGGGAATGGATCAGCTTAATATTGCAGATAGATTGTATCTTCTATCAATGTAATTGTCTGCATCACTTCCAATCCCCCATGTTTTATTTTTATTTTTTATATATATATTCCCCTTTATTACTTTTCAACCCCACCATCCTTTCCCTACTTGGAGTAAATTAGTGAACAATAACGCCCAGGCCTCTACTTCCGGTCTATACTTACTATCTACACCTTATGGACAGAGTTAATTTTACAATAATTCTATATATATATATATATATTTTTTTTTATTTTATTTTTTTATTTTATTTTTTTTGCTCCTGAACTTCTTCTACTCTCAACCTCTCCGATCATTTTCATGATGTCTATCCGGTTTGCTTCTAAATGCCATATCTTTCTAACTGTGCTCTTTCCCAAAAGCTCCCAACATACAACCTATATACTTATTATGGACACAGTATGCTTACATTATTAGCTATCTTTGTTATTATTTGTTATTAGTCCCATCCTTCAACTCTATTCAATACCTCCCATCTATCTCTTAACACCATCCATATAGGATTTCTATTTGCCATATATATTTCAACCGTACTGTGATGTTTTACAAAAGTTCTGAACCTTTCTATTCTCATTGCTTCTACAGATTGTGAATTAAAAATAAACATTTTTGCTAAAAGTATTATTATATTATTGATTGATTGACTATGACTTTTCAGATCACCCAGTAATGCTATCTGCAAGGTTAGTTCCAGGTAAATATTGCAATCCTTTAGCCATTCCTGGACCTGTGTCCAAAAACAAGCTACAAATGGACAGAACCAAAACAAATGATCTAATGATTCTGTCTCTTCACAGCAAAATCTGCAGAGCTGGGAAGATTGTATCCCCCAAATAAATAACATTATATTGGTAGCAAGAATTTTATATAATAATTTAAATTGAAAGATTCTAATTTTTGAATCCGGTGTCGTTTTGCGTGTCAGTTCATAAACACTATGCCATGGGATCGGTACGTCAAAGATCTCTTCCCAACTATTTTGCAATCTATATGGGACGGCTGTCAATCCTTTGGTCCTTAAGTGAAACTGATATACTTTTTTATTTATCACAGTTTTCCTTAACCAATTATATTCTTTAATGCAAGGCCGACAGACAAGTTCCTTACTTTCTCCCCCTTCAACTTTCCTCTTCCACTTTTGCGGTAAGGCTGCAATTATTTGGTTGTAATTTTGGGTAGAGCAGACATTTCCATATGTTTTTGTTAGCTGCATGTGCGACATAACTCCACCAGTCCTACCGATGATATCATTTATGAAGATTATACCTTTTTTAAACATTCTGTCAAAAAATTAAGTTTTTTTGTCAATTAGTATATTTGAATTTAACCACAATATTTGTTGCATTATTTGTTCTGTCATTTCTGGAGGATTAAATTGAAATTGCAACCAACTTTCTATGGCTTGTTTTAGAAATAGTGACATTTGGGAGATTATTTCCTTTTCAAATAACTGAAAGTGAGAGGTTGTAATCTGAATAAAGGGAAAAAGGCCTTTCTTGAACAGTGGGTGAGACAATCTTACTAATTTGCTTGAGAACCAGTTCGGATTTAAGTATAACTTTTGGATGACTGAAGATTTTAGTGATAGGTCTAATGCTTTAATATTTAATAATTTCTGTCCTCCGAATTCATATTCATTATATAAATATGCTCTTTTAATTTTGTCTGGATTGCCGTTCCAAATAAAATTGAATATTTTTTTCTCATATAATTTAAAAAACTGTTTGCTAGGCGTAGGCAATACCATAAGCAAATAGGTAAACTGGGATAATACTAAAGAGTTAATCAGGGTGATTTTTCCACAAATTGACAGGTATTTTCCTTTCCATGGTAGTAAGATCTTATCTATTTTTGCTAACTTTCTATTAAAATGTATTGAAGTGAGATCATTTATTTCCTTTGGGATATGTATTCCGAGTATATCCACATCACCATCAGACCATTTTATTGGTAAACTACATGGTAATGTAAAAAATTTATTTTTTAGTGATCCAATACGTAATATAGTACATTTGTCATAATTTGGTTTTAATCCAGAGAGGTTAGAAAATGTATCTAGATCCTCTATGAGGCTGTGGAGGGATTCTAGTTGTGGATCTAAAAGAAAACATGAATCATCTGCGTACAATGACACCTTTGTTTTTAAGCCCTGTATTTCTAATCCTCTGATATTATTATTGGATCTGATTTTAATAGCTAACATCTCGATGGCCACAATAAATAGATATGCCGATAGTGGACAACCTTGTTTCACTCCTCTTGACAGTTTAAAACTTTCTGAGAAATAGCCATTATTTACTATTTTACACCTAGGGTTACTATACATGATTTTGACCCATTTTATAAGAGATTCTCCAAAATTGAAATGCTCCAGGCATTTATATATAAACCCCAGTCGAACTTTATCAAATGCCTTTTCGAAGTCTGCTATGAATAGCAGGCCTGGTTTCCCATATTTTCCATAGTGTTCTATTGTTTCCAATACTTGCCTTATATTATCTCCAATGTATCTTCCATGTAAAAAACCTGTCTGATTAGAATGAATAATATCCGACAATACCTTTTTAATTCTATGCGCTATACATTTTGCTAGGATTTTTGCATCACAACACTGAAGTGTAAGGGGCCTCCAATTTTGTAAACATGTGTTTGTTTGCTTATATGTGTTATGCCCAAATGGGTGAATGTGTGTGTGTGTGTGTTTGGGTCAGTGTAAGTGCATGAATCTAAGTAGGGTGTCACAGTCAATGTGAGAGAGTGAGTGGATGTTGGAGAGTGGAAAATGTCTGAACTCTCTGGAGTTTGTGGTTTGTTTGTGTGAGTTTGTACTTTGTGGGTCTGTGCTCACTTCAGTTGGCCTACAGATGAAGAGGATATAGAAATGTATAGGGAATTGGATGGTAATGGATAGATGAAACACATGGAGAGACCACACAAAGAGAGAAAAAAGGGAGCATAAAACTGTGATACTATGTACTGATTGTTCACTAATCTTGAGGAAATTAACTGAACTGGGTGATTTCAATGAGTACTGATTTGAGACCCACAGAGAGAGGATTTGTTGCAGTGTAGGGAGAGTGGTCATCTCTTTCTCCCTGAGTATACTTATTAAGTTTGCTTTAGCCTCAACAGTACAGGAAGGAGAAAATAGCAAAACTGGATAGATAAAGAGGTTGAATAGTGTGAAAACTTGGCAGAGCAGTGTGTGTAGGTGTGTGTATACTGTAAGAGAGCTTAGATTCAATATCTTGCGTCTGAGAGTGAGTGTGTGTGTGTGTGTGTGTGTGTGTGTTAGAGTGTGTGTGTAAAGTGACTAAAGAAGGTAAAGACTAACGAGACGATGGCTGCTCCAGTGGCCTTTCCACACAGAAAATAATTTAACGTCCCAATGTGTTTCCCCTTAAACCGATAAGGCATGCTTTGTCCCCACCGAATTAAAGACTGACATTTACAAATGTTATTGTGCAAGGGAGGGGGGACAGAAAGAATGAGGAGGGTATAGGGGGTGGGGGGTTGGGAATAATTGAGGACTGGGGGATTTGAGGTGTGGGTGTGGTAATTATTAGGGGGGGTTGGGGGCATTTTAATAAACCCAATTTGTATTACATTGAAGAAACCCTGTCAAGCAGCGACTGTTGTGTAGTCATTGATTTAATAGCTACCTAATTGGTGCAAATGCCAAGTGTGTGTGTGTGTGTGTGTGGTAAATGCACATTTGAGTACCGTGCAAAGCTTGAAATAGCCAAACAGCTGCAGCTTTGGCAACACCATATGTGTGTGTGTTGCAACTCCTTCAGGGTATGATGGTAATAACCCCTACTAAATAGGCCTAAGTCAACTTGGTTTGGCTTGGCCAATAAGTCAAGACATTTCATATCAAGAGACCTGATGTGGCATTCTGATAGAGGCCTGTGCACACACACACACAGATGTCCACACACTTCTCAGCTAACCTCATTCTCATGCCTCTCCATTCCAGAACTTGCCGACCATGAACACAACAATAAACACCAACAGTGATCCAGCGGTCAACATCTACTCCACCTCCTTCACAGAGCCACCACTACCCTTCAACCTCTACATCTCCCTCTCCTCCTCCCCTGTACTGCCGTGTAGCCCTCACATCTGTAATCATGAAGTGCTTTGAAAGGCTGGTTATGGTACACATCAACTCCTTCATCCCAGACACTGTAGACCCACTTCAATTTGCACACCACCCCAACAGATACATAGATGACACAATCTCAATTGCACTCCACACTGCCCTCACTCACCTAAATAAAAGGAATACCTATGTGAGAATGCTTTTCATTGACTACAGATCAGAATTCAACACCATAGTGCTCTCCAAGCTCGTCACCAAGCTTGGGACCCTGGGACTGAACACCTCCCTCTGCACCTGGATCCTGGACTTCCTGTTAGGCCCGGCCCCAGGTGGGGAGGGTAGGCAACATCATCAAGTTTGCTGATGACGCAATGGTGGTAGGCCTGATCACCGGCAATGATGAGACAGCCTACAGGGAGGAGGTCAGTGACCTGGCAGTGTGGTGCCAAGACAACAACATTTCCCTCAATGTCAGTAAGACCAAGGAGCTGACTACAGGAAACGGAGGGGGCGAGCACGCTGAAGTGGGGCGGGTCGAGAGCTTCAAGGTCCTCTGTGTCCAAATCACTAAGGACTTGAAATGGTCCACCCACACGCACACAGTCATGAAGAAAGCGCGATACCGCCTCTTCCCCTTCAGAAGGTTGAAAAGATTTGTCATAGATCTGTCATGCCAAATATTGTCCACTTGCGAAAATGTGTCCACCCCTGTGGAGGATAGGATTTGATTAGCTGTTAGCATCCGTTGCTAGGGCTGATGCTAGAACTTGCCAAATTCTGCCCGGCTATGTAATGAAAGAAAAAAAAAACAATAGCGTTCGCTGGTTGCTACACTACATAACCAAAGTATGTGGACACCGTCGAACATCTCATTCCAAAATCATGGGCATTAATATGGAGTTGGTCCACTCTTTGCTGCTATAACAGCCTCCACTCTTCTAGATGTTGGAACATCGCTGCGGGGACTTGCTTCCATTCAGCCACAAGAGCATTAGTGAGGTCGGGCACTGATGTTGGGCGATTAGGTCTGGCTCGCAGTTGGCAATCCAATTAATTCCAGAGCTGTTTTTGCTCCTAGACGTTTCCATTTCACAATAACTGCACTTACAGTTGACCGGGGCAGCTCTAGCAGGGCAGAAATTTGATGAACTGACTTGTTGGAAAGGTGGCATCCTATGACAGTGTCATGCTGAAAGTCACTTAGCTCTTCAGTCAGGCCGTTCTACTGCCAATGTTTGTTTATGGAGATTGAATGGCTGTGTGCTCGATTTTATACACCTGTCAGCAACGTGTGTGGCTTAAATAGACGAATCCACTAATTTGAAGGGGTGTCCACATACTTTTGTGTATATAGTGTATGTTCTGATTGTTCTGAGGTGCACGGAGAGAGAGAGACGCGTGCAGTCAAAAGACAGGGAAACTGCAATCGAAGTTACAGGTTATTAATGCTATTTACGAGATGTTATAGATTGAAATCTCACCGATTATTGGTGGATAAAGCACTAAACATAAATAATAAGCCATTTAGCAGACGCTTTTATCCAAAGCGACTTACAGTCATGCGTGCATACATTTTTTGTGTATGGGTGGTCCCGGGGATCGAACCCACTACCTTGGCGTTACAAGCGCCGTGCTCTACCAGCTGAGATCCATGTGTGGTCATTGATGTTTACTTGCTTGCAAAACCTAATCGCAAAACCTTCATTTAGCTAGCACGAGCATGCTGCAAACAAGCATGGATGCTGCAAACGATGAATGCAAACACTACTGCGAGGAAAGACCACTTTTTCAAATCTCTTTATGTAGCTAGCTAGCTAACTAGCTAAGCTTTGTTTTGTATTGTATTATTTGTGTTTGTAGAATATCAGTTGATTTAAATAGCTATCTCTTATACTAAGTAGCCTATGACAAGTGTTATGACAAGTGCTATATCAGCTGTAAAATGTTATGGGGAAAAGGTGAACTCCATGAATCAATCTTCTGGTCATGAGTGATCAGAATGTACCTGTCGATGCACAGATCTGGGGAAGGGTACCAAAATATTTCTGGAGCATTGAAGGTCCCCAAGAACACAGTGGACTCCATCATTCTTAAATAGAAGAAGTCTGGATCCACCAAGACTCTTCCTAGAGCTGGCCGCCCAGCCAAACTGAGCAATCGGGGGAGAAGGGCCTTGGAAAGGGAGGTGACCAAGAACCGGATGGTCACTCTAACAGAGCTCCAGAGTTCCTCTGTAGAGATGGGAAAACCTTCCAGAAGGACAACCATCTCTGCAGCACTTCACCAATCAGGTCTTTATGGTAGAGTGGCCAGACGGAAGCCACTCCTCAGTAAAAGGCACATGACAGCCCGCTTGCAGTTTGCCAAAAGCCACCTCAAGACTCTCAGACCATGAGAAACAAGATTCTCTGGTCTGATGAAACCAAGATTGAACTATTTGGCCTGAATGCCAAGCATCACTTCTGGAGGAAACGTGGCACCGTCCCTACAGTGAAGCATGGTGGTGGCAGCATCATGCTGTGGGGATGTTTTTCAGCAGCAGGGACTTGGAGACTTGTCAGGATCGAGGGAAAGATGAATGGAGCAAAGTACAGAGAGATCCTTGATGAAAACCTTCTCCACAGCGCTCAGGACCTCAGACTTCTTCCAACAGGACAACGACCTTAGGGTCGGAACTGTGAGATACAAAAAAAATCACCCATACCCTACTTCTGCCAAGACTCTTTGAGGATCCCCCTATTATGTTATTTACTTGTCATTCATACTTCTGTTTTCTTAACTTAATTGCATTTTATTGTTTTTGTGTTGATGTTAGCCTATACTAATGTATTTCAGTCTATAACTGCCATGTGGGTATATTAAAACACACCTGTTCCACAAAAATACATTTTCATATTTCAAATATTGCCAGGTTGGGTTTCACATGGTGTTAATTTTTTATTAATTGTTGTAAATCCAATTTTGGTATTTGTGAGTTCAAAGTCATTCAACTGTCTGTCGTGTCCTGCATTATATTCAACCACAAGAGTACTACTGTAGCACTGAGCCATGCCTATGTCATGTGGTGGAGGAAGGGAGACATAATAAACATAATAGGACTAAAAGTATACTTTAGACGCAGGGAGGGAAGCTCAAAATAAAAAACATGCCAGCCAGACTAGCCAGTGTGTGAATAGAATTGGTTTGCACATTAATTAAGTGATAATAGCTGCATAGAAGCTCTGCGATCTGAAAGGTAAGTTAATGTGCAGTTTACACATTTTCTTTGCTATTTCGAATCGTAGAAACGTATAAGACATGGATTTAATGTTGTTGAAATGTTAACAAAAAAAAGTAGATTGAAGTAATTTATTCATCTTATTAGTTAAACAAAACTCATTTTAGCAGCGATATTGTCGCTGAAATTAGCTTTGTTTACATAGTGGGGATGAAAATAACATCATTTTGCCTGTAATGATCTCTAAAATGCAAAGCATTAGCTCATCACACCGTTGCTATAGACACGGAAGCTAACAGCTAATCGAATGGAGTGGACACTATTTGGCTTGAGAGGCCCTCAAATCCTCAAAAAGTTATGCAGCTGCATCATTGAGAGCATCTTGACTGGCTGCATCACTGCTTGGTATGGCATCTACACCGCCCTCGATCGCATGGCACTACAGAGGGTGATGCGGACAGCCAAGTACATCACTGGGGCCAAGCTCCCTGCCATTCAGGACCTCTATATTAGGCGGTGTGAAAGGAAGGCTTGGAAAATTGTTAAAGACTCCAGCCACCCAAGCCATAAACTGTTCTCTCTGCTTCCGCATGGTAAGTTGTACCGGTGTCTGACACCAACAGGATCCTGAACAGCTTCCCCAAGCCATAAGACCGCTAAATAGCTCACAAAATGGCTAGACGGACTAGCTGCATTGACACTTTCATTTTATTTTTGCACTGACTCTATGCACACTCACAGCACTCTACACACTCAGTCACACACACTCACACTGACACTCCAACAGACACACACACACACAAACACTTAATTTGCTCACAAACACATAACACACACACACATTCCTACTGACTCTACACACACGCATACAAGCATCATATATGCTGCTGCTACTCTGTTTATCATATATCCTGATGTCTGGTCACCTTACCCCTATACATACTGTATCTACCTCTACCACTCCAGTGTCCCTGCACACTGTAAATATGGTATTGGAACTGACCCTGTATATAACTTACTTATTTTCTCGTGTTCTTCTTTTTTCTATTTCTCGTGTGTTTTTGTTCTACTTTACTATATATGTCATATTTTTTCTACTGATATTGATTACTGCATTGTTGGGAAAGAGCTTGCAAGAAAGGCATTTCACTGTACTTGTGCACGTGACAACAAAACTTGAAACTTGAAACTACCCTCAGAGCCCCATGAGCCCCTCTGCTGACGATCATGATGGATCTAGGCCTGTCCCTACTCTTGGCTGGCTGTGCTATCTTCTTGGCCATGTGTCGTGGGTCATCAACCCAGACAGAGGAGGACTCAGATGGAGGCCGTTGTTCAGGCGAGTCCCTGGTCTGCGGCCCTTCTCTGTCCTCGGAGCCCCAGCTCAAGCTGTGGAAGAGACTGGGGTCCAAGTGGTGGTCGTTCACCTCCTCTTTCAAATGACTGCCCCAACACTGGCCGGACCGCAGCAACCACTGCTCCCCACCAGACCGCAACCTGACCACAGCAGCTCACCGATGCCCCACCTTAGCATGCCCTGCCTGTTTGACTGCGTTACAGGGATATGACCACGCTCGGACCGTGGGATGAACGCAGGCCCGCTCATGGAGGTGACCGCTCTAACCATAACTTGACCACAGCATTCAGACTTGACTACAGTCCTGCCTGTCCATGGATGTACTGCTAACTAAACAATGACACTAACATCTGACCAAATCCTTACTTCAAGATAACCTTTACTTTACCAGTCCATGTGGTTATTTGGAACATTATTGACCGTGACCATACCTGTTGATCGGTCATGTTGTAACAGACCAGAGAAGCAGGTGCAAGCCTAATGTTCTGCCAAAAGGGATACCAGCCTCTGTGGTTGATGTGAATTGTTTTGTACTTTTGTTGTATTAGAACATTTTGTGGTATTATTTTGTTGTATAACATTTTTGGTTGTTTTAGAAAATACAAATGTTTTCTCATTTTGTGCGTGTGTGTGTGTGACCTGGGTTCAAATACATGTGTATTTGATTATTTGTTATTTAAATACTTATTGTTCTGTGCATTTGAGTATTTTCAAATAATGTGGCCCGAATCAACTACCTCTATTGGAAGTATTTGTAAGTACAGTGAGGGAAAAAAGTGTTTGATCCCCTGCTGATTTTGTACGTTTGCCCACTGACAAAGAAATTATCAGTCTATAATTTTTATGGTAGGTTTATTTGAACAGTGAGCGACAGAATAACAACAAAAACATCCAGAAAAACGCGAGTCAAAAATGTTATAAATCGATTTGCATTTTAATGAGGGAAATAAGTATTTGACCCCCTCGCAATCAGAAAGATTTCTGGCTCCCAGGTGTCTTTTATACAGCTAAGGAGCTGAGATTAGGAACACACTCTTAAAGGGAGTGCTCCTAATCTCAGTTTGTTACCTGTATAAAAGACACCTGTCCACAGAAGCAATCAATCAATCAGATTCCAAACTCTCCACCATGGCCAAGACCAAAGAGCTCTCCAAGGATGTCAGGGACAAGATTGTAGACCTACACAAGGCTGGAATGGGCTACAAGACAATCGCCAAGCAGCTTGGTGAGAAGGTGACAACAGTTGGTGCGATTATTCGCAAATGGAAGAAACACAAAACACTGTCAATCTCCCTCGGCCTGGGGCTCCATGCAAGATCTCACCTCGTGGAGTTGCAATGATCATGAGAACGGTGAGGAATCAGCCCAGAACTACACGGGAGGACCTTGTCAATGATCTCAAGGCAGCTGGGACCATAGTCACCAAGAAAACAATTGGTAACACACTACGCCGTGAAGGACTGAAATCCTGCAGCGCCCGCAAGGTCCCCCTGCTCAAGAAAGCACATATACAGGCCTGTCTGAAGTTTGCCAATGAACATCTGAATGATTCAGAGGAGAACTGGGTGAAAGTGTTGTGGTCAGATGAGACCAAAATCGAGCTTTTTGGCATCAACTCAACTCGCCGTGTTTGGAGGAAGAATGCTGCCTATGACCCCAAGAACACCATCCCCACTGTCAAACATGGAGGGGGAAATATTATGCTTTGGGGGTGTTTTTCTGCTAAGGGGACAGGACAACTTCACCGCATCAAAGGGACGATGGACGGGGCCATGTACCGTCAAATCTTGGGTGAGAACCTCCTTCCCTCAGCCAGGGCATTGAAAATGGGTCGTGGATGGGTATTCCAGCATGACAATGACTCAAACCACCCGGCCAAGGCAACAAAGGAGTGGCTCAAGAAGAAGCACATTAAGGTCCTGAAGTGACCTAGCCGTTCTCCAGACCTTAATCCCATAGAAAATATGTGGAGGGAGCTGAAGGTTCGAGTTGCCAAACGTCAGGCTCGAAACCTTAATGACTTGGAGAAGATCTGCAAAGAGGAGTGGGACAAAATCCCTCCTGAGATGTGTGCAAACCTGGTGGCCAACTACAAGGAATGTCTGACCTCTGTGATTGCCAACAAGGGTTTTGCCACCAAGTACTAAGTCATGTTTTGCAGAGGGGTCAAATACTTATTTCCCTCATTAAAATGGAAATCAATTTAGAACTTTTTTGACGTGCGTTTTTCTGGATTTTTTTGTTGTTATTCTGTTTCTCACTGTTCAAATAAACCTACCATTAAAATTATAGACTGATCATGTCTTTGTCAGTGGGCAAACTTACAAAATCAGCAGGGGATCAAATACTTTTTTCCCTCACTGTATGCTAAAATAATTCCTATAAACAGCCTACTATTTTAAACTACTTTCAAATACCTGCGTTAAATGCATTGGAGTGTATGTGTGTGCATGTGTGTGGGTGTGCAGTTGTGGAAAAAGTACCCAATTGTCATACTTGAGTAAAAGTTAAGATACCTTCATAGAAAATGACTCAAGTAAAAGTGAAAGTCACCCAGTAAAATAGTACTTGAGTAAAAGTCTAAAAGTATTTGGTTTTAAATATACTTAAGTATCAAAAGTAAATGTAATTGCAAAAATATACTTGAGTACTGTCACGGTTTTGGCCGAGGCTGCCTCTCTTCCTTGCTCGGGCAGGCTTCGGCGGTCGTCGTCTCCGGAGTACTAGCTGCCACCGTTGTATGTTTCGATGTTCGTTTGGTTTTGTCTTGATGTTGTACACCTGTTTTCGTTTAGCGCTCATTAGTGTCCTATAAGTTCTCGTTGTGTTTGTCAGGTGTTGTGTGTGATTGTACTTGCTGTCGTGTTTGTGCACTACTGTTGGTTGTCTGTGCTTCGTTGTTTTCCTCCTCTGTTAGGGAGGGTTCTCGCACATGTTAGTGCGCATTTTGTTCTACGCTTGTGTGCGTATTTTCTCGCCTCCGGGCTTTTTGGCTCGTGTTATGAGTGAGTGTTCACTAAAGTCTTTTGGACTAAGTTTCTGCGTCCTGCGCCTGATTCCTGCACCACACCCACCTACAGCACCCACTGACAGAATCACACACCATAAGGATGGAATCAGCAGGAGCCGCAGCAGCACCTGAGTCTCTGGAGGATAGGGTCCGTGAGCAGAACGATCAGATCCTTCGTATCGGGACCGCCCTTCAGGACGTGATTAACACCCTTCAACGCTGGGAGACCAGAGGGACACCCACAACTCCACCTCCCGTGCCATCACCATCGGCCAGTCAGCCCATTCAAGCTCCGGAACCCAGGGGAATTCGGCTCTCGCTCCCGAGGGCCTATGATGGGACCGCTGCGTGTCCGCCCTCATCTCCTGTCTTACCGGCAAGGCGTTGGAATGGGCCAACGCAGAGTGGAGGAGAATAGACGCCTCCACCATCACCTACTCTGAGTTCTCCCGCCGCTTCAGGGCTGTGTTTGACCATCCACCTGAGGGGAAAGCGGCGGGGGAGCGTCTGTTCTACCTCCGGCAGGGGAGGAGGAGCGCCCAGGAGTTCGCTTTAGAATTCCGAACTCTAGCGGCGGATGCAGGGTGGAATGAGCGGGCCCTCATCGATCACTACCGCTGTAGTCTACGAGAGGACGTTCGTCGGGAGCTGGCCTGCAGGGATACCAGCCTCTCTTTCGATCAGTTAGTGGACATGTCCATCAGGCTGGACACCCTGCTGGCTACCCGCGGACGTTCCGAGGGGGGTCCGTCCATTCCATCCTCCAGCACCTCCGAGCCGAGCCCTATGGAGCTCGGGGGTGCTGGCGCTAGAGAGAGGAGGGGTCGGAGTACGAGGGGGGCCGTCCTCTGCACCAACTGTGGCCGTGGAAGACACACCGAGGCTAGGTGCTGGGGAGGGTCTCCTAGGGGAGAAGACGACAGGCTCCGCACTGGGGAGTCCTTCCAGGTGAGTAGGCGCCCCACTTACCCAGAGCTCTCGGTTGCGCACTTCTGTATACCTGTGCGATTTCCACAGGTTGCACCTCATTCACAGCATAAGGCGCTAGTAGATTCAGGCGCGGCTGGGAATTTTGTTGATAGAAAATTTTGTTTAGAATTAGGGATTCCCCTTCTTCCTGTTGACGTCCCATTCCCCGTTCATGCCCTAGATAGCCGTCGGTTGGGATCGGGCTTGATCAGGGAAGTCACGGCACCACTTAGGATGTGTACGCAGGGGGGTCATGAGGAGATTATCCAGCTATATCTGATCGACTCTCCTGCGTATCCGGTGGTGCTGGGAATGCCCTGGTTGAGTATCCATAATCCGTCTATTTCGTGGCAGGAGAGGGCTCTGATGGAGTCGTCTGCCCAGTGTGTGGGGTGATGTTTAGGTGTTTCCGTGGGGGCTATCTCGGTGGAGAGTCCAAACCAGGTGCCCGCATTGCACATTCCCCCCGAGTATGACGATTTGGCTATTGTGTTCAGTAAGTCGAGGGCGACGCAGTTACCTCCTCATAGGCAGGGAGATTGTGCGATAGACCTCCAGGCAGGAGCTGCGCTCCCACGGAGCCATATGTATCCTCTGTCTCAAGAGGAGAAGAGAGCTATGGAGACTTACATAGACGAATCTCTGAGACAAGGATACATACGGCCATCCACTTCCCCTGCGTCCTCGAGTTTCTTTTTTGTGAAGAAGAAGGATGGAGGGTTACGCCCGTAAATTGATTACCGTAGTCTCAATCAGATCACGGTGAAGTACAGTTATCCAGTTCCTCTGATTGCGACCATGACGGAGTCATTGCACGGGGCGCGTTTTTTCACAAAATTAGATCTCAGGAGCGCTTACAACTTGGTACGCATTAGAGAGGGCGATGAATGGAAGACAGCGTTTAGTACCACCTCGGGTCATTACGAGTATCTTGTCATGCCATATGGGTTGATGAACGCTCCTTCAGTTTTCAAATCATTCGTGGATGAGATCTTCAGGGACATGCAGGGGCAGGGGGTGGTCGTTTACATAGATGACATTCTCGTGTACTCGTCTACCCGAGTCGAGCATGTGGCCCTGGTGCGCCAAGTGTTGAGGAGGCTGTTGGAGCACGACCTGTATGTCAAGGCAGAGAAATGTCTGTTTTTCCAGGAGTCGATCTCCTTTTTGGGTTATCAGTTGTCTGCGTCAGGGGTGAAGATGGAGGTTGACCGGGTGTCAGCCGTGCGTAATTGGCAGACTCCAACCACTGTTAAAGAGGTGCAGCAGTTTTTGCAAATTACTACCGGAGGTTTATCCGGGGTTTTGGACAGGTGGCAGCTCCCATAACGTCTCTTTTGAAGGGGGGTCCGGTGCGTTTGCAGTGGTCAGCCGAGGCGGACAGGGCTTTGGGAGGCTGAAGAACCTGTTTACTTCGGCTCCGGTGCTGGCGCATCCAGATCCCTCTTTACCATTTCAGGTAGAGGTGGATGCGTCAGAGGCCGGTATAGGGGCCGTGCTTTCGCAACGGTCCGGCACGCCACCTAAACTCCGCCCCTGTGCTTTTTATTCCAAAATGCTCAGTCCGGCGGAGCGAAATTATGACGTAGGGGACAGGGAGCTGTTAGCCGTGGTACAGGCCCTAAAGGTGTGGAGGCATTGGCTTGAGGGGGCTCAACACCCTTTTCTCATTTTGACTGACCACCGTAACCTGGAGTACATCCGGGCAGCTAGGAGACTGAACCCTCGCCAGGCGCGGTGGAACATGTTTTTGGCCCGGTTCGTATTTAAGATCACGTACATCCCTGGGTCACAGAACGGTAAGGCAGACGCACTGTCTCGGCGGAATGACACGGAGGAGAGGTCCGTGGAGCCCACTCCAATACTGCCGGAGTCTTGTCTGGTGGCACCGGTAGTGTGGGAGGTCGATGCTGAGATCGAGCGGGCGTTGCGCACCGACCCTAGTCCTCCTCAATGCCCGGAGGGTCGGACGTACGTCCCGCTCGAGGTTCGGGATCGATTGATCTATTGGGCTCACACGTCACCCTCCTCTGGACATCCTGGTATTGGCCGGACAGTGCACTGCCTTAGTGCTAAGTACTGGTGGCCCACGTTAGCGAGGGATGTGAGGGTTTATGTCTCCTCCTGCTCGGTGTGCGCCCAGTGTAAGGCGCCTAGACATCTGCCTAGGGGTAAGTTACAACCCCTGCCCGTTCCACAATGACCATGGTCTCACCTCTCGGTGGACTTCGTCACTGACCTTCCCCCCTCGCAGGGGAATACTACTATACTGGTCATTGTGGACCGGTTCTCTAAGGCCTGTCGTTTGCTCCCTATGCCGGGCCTTCCTACTGCCCTACAGACCGCCGAAGCTCTATTCACCCACGTTTTCCGGCACTACGGGGTACCCGAGGATATTGTGTCTGATCGAGGTCCCCAGTTCACCTCCAGAGTCTGGAGAGCATTTATGGAGCGTTTGTGGGTCTCGGTGAGCCTCACCTCGGGTTACCATCCTGAGAGTAATGGGCAGGTGGAACGTGTGAACCAGGATGTGGGTAGGTTTCTTAGATCATACTGCCAGGACCGGCCGGAGGAGTGGGCACGGTACGTTCCCTGGGCAGAAATGGCCCAGAATTCCCTACGCCATTCCTCAACTAACCTAACCCCTTTCCAATGTGTGTTAGGTTACCAGCCGGTTCTGGCACCATGGCAGCAGAGCCAGATCGAGGCTCCTGCGGTGGATGAGTGGGTGCGGCGCTCGGAGGAGACGTGGAACGCTGCACACGTCCACCTGCAGTGGGCCCTCCGTCGTCAGAAGGCGAGCGCCGATCTCCACCGCAGTGAGGGGCCGGTGTACGCACCTGGTGATCGAGTCTGGCTCTCTACCAGAAACCTGCCCCTCCGCCTGCCCTGCCGGAAACTGGGTCGGCGGTTTGTGGGGCCGTTTAAAGTCCTGAGAAGATTGAACGTGGTGTGTTACAGATTACAACTGCCTATTGATTATAAGAATATTAACCCCTCGTTCCATGTGTCTCTTCTCAGGCCGGTGGTAGCTGGTCCACTCCAGGAAGATGAAATCAGAGAGACTCCTCCGCCCCCATTGGACATCGAGGGGGCACCGGCGTACTCCGTGCGGTCCATCTTGGATTCGAGACGTCGGATGGGGGGTCTCCAATATCTCGTGGAGTGGGAGGGGTACGGCCCGGAGGAACGGTGCTGGGTGCCGAGGAGAGTCATTTTGGACCCGTCTCTCCTGACAGAATCCCACCGTAGTCACCCGACGCGCCCTGCTCCGCGTCCTCCTGGTCGTCCCCGAGGCCGGAGTCGGCGCACGTCTGGAGCCGCGCGTCAAGGGGGGGTACTGTCACAGTTTCGGCCGAGGCTGCCTCTCTTCCTTGCTCGGGCAGGCTTCGGCGGTCGTCGTCTCCGGAGTACTAGCTGCCACCGTTGTATGTTTCGATGTTCGTTTGGTTTTGTCTTGATGTTGTACACCTGTTTTCGTTTAGCGCTCATTAGTGTCCTATAAGTTCTCGTTGTGTTTGTCAGGTGTTGTGTGTGATTGTACTTGCTGTCGTGTTTGTGCGCTACTGTTGGTTGTCTGTGCTTCGTTGTTTTCCTCCTCTGTTAGGGAGGGTTCTCGCACATGTTAGTGCGCATTTTGTTTTACGCCTGTGTGCGTATTTTCTCGCCTCCGGGCTTTTTGGCTCGTGTTATGAGTGAGTGTTCACTAAAGTCTTTTGAACTAAGTTTCTGCGTCCTGCGCCTGATTCCTGCACCACACCCACCTACAGCACCCACTGACAAGTACCAAAGGAAAAGGAAAAGTATGAATCATTTCAAATTCTTTATATTAAGCAAACCAGATGGTACCATTTTCTTGATTTATAATTTATGGATAGCCAGGAGCACACTCCAACACTCAGACATAATTTACAAACGATGCATGTGTGTTTAGTGAGTTTGCCAGATCAGAGGCAGTAGGGATGACCAGGTATGATCTCTTGATGAGTGCGTGAATTGGACCATTTTCCTGTCCTGCTAAGCATTTAAAATGTAACAAGAACTTTTGGGTGTAAGGGAAAATGTATGGAGTAAAAAGTACATTATTTTCTTTAGGAAAGTAAAAGTTATTAAAACTATCAATAGTTCAGATACCCCAAAAAACGAGTTAGGTAGTACTTTAAAGTATTTGTACTTAAATACTTTACACTGCTGTGTGTGTGTGTGTGTGTGTGTGTGTGTGTGGGTGTGTGTGAGTGTGCGCGTGTACACTACCGTTCAAAGATTTGGGGTCACTTAGAAACGTCCTTGTATTCGAAAGAAAAGCAATTTTTTTGTCCATTAAAATAACATCCAATTGTTCAAAAATACAGTGTACACATTGTTAATGTTGTAAATGGCTATTGTAGATGGAAACTGCTGATTTTGAATGTAATATCTACAGAGGCGTACAGAGGCCCATTATCAGCACCCATCAGTCCTGTGTTCCAATGGCACGTTGTGTTTGCTAATCCAAGTTTATAATTTTAAAAGGCTAATTGATCATTAGAAAACCCTTTTGCAATTGTGTTAGCACAGCTGAAAACTGTTGCGGTAATTAAAGAAGCAATAACACTGGCCTTCTTGAGACTAGTTGAGTATCTGGAGCATCAGCAATTGTGGGTTCGATTACAGGCTCAAAATGTCCAGAAACAAATAACCTTCTTCTGAAACTCGTCAGTCTATTCTTGTTCTGAGAAATTAAGGCTATTCCATGCAAGAAATTGCCAAGAAACTGAAGATCTCGTACAACGCTGTGTACTACTCCCTTCATAGAACAGCGCAAACTGGCTTTAACCAGATTAGAAAGAGGAGTGGGAGGCCCCGGTTCACAACTGAGCAACTGAGGCGACTCCGGGATGCTGAGCTTCTAGGCAGAGTTGCAAAGAAAAAGCCATATCTCAGACTGGCCAATAAAAATAAAATATTAAGATGGGCAGTCTGAGATATGGCTTTTTCTTTGAAACTCTGCCTAGAAGGTCAGCATCCCAGAGTCACCTCTTCACTGTTGACGTTGAGACTGGTGTTTTGCGGGTACTATTTAATGAAGCTGACAGTTGAGGACCTGTGAGGCGTCTGTTTCTCAAACTAGATACTCTAATGTATTTGTCCTCTTGCTCAGTTGTGAACCGGGGCCTCCCACTCCTCTTTCTAATCTGGTTAGAGCCAGTTTGCACTGTTCACACATAAAAATCAATTTAAATTACAGGTTGTAATGCAACAAAATAGGAAAAACGCCAAGGTGGATGAATACTTTTGCAAGGCACTGTATGTGGATTATAATTAATGGAAATGTGTAGAGGTTGATGCATTTTTTGTAAGGGATTACACATTTCAGAAGCCTTTTTAAACCTCAAATCAAATTGCATTGCAGGAAATTTCTCCTGCAACAGGGTGATCAAATTAAGATCATACATCTATCTGTATGTGTACGTGTGTGTGTGTGTGTGTGTGTGTACGTGTGTGTGTGTGTGTGTGTGTGTGTGTGTGTGTGTCAGCCTGCCTGTGTACCTGCAGGATGCTGGTTCCAATGGGGACATTCTCTAGTATGCTGGTCTCATAGCTGTTCTGGAGGAAGATGGGTCTGTTGTCGTTCACGTCCAGTACTTCTACAAACACTGTGGCTGTGCCTGTCCTCCTGCTGCCTGCTGGACCATTATCTGAGGGGGACACACATTCACACATTACAACACTGTGTGTATGTGTCTGTCAGTTTCTGAGAAACTGGGCCAGTGAACATATTTTTCTGTTTTATGACACAGCTAAAATTTTATTTCATTTGAGTCATTTAGCAACTTACACTCAGTGCATTCATTGGTTGCATTTCAACTAAAGTCAATATCTTTGCCATCTTTGTAAATAAAACCAACTGTATAATCGAATCATTAAAACCATACAATAGAAAACAAAAACAAACTGAGTCTTTGAAAACCCAACATTTGAAAAAATATCAGTGGGATACTCAAAGTTGAGCCATGTTCAATCACTTCTGAGGTAGTAACATGAGTGCTCTCCTCTTCTCTCAATCCCCCCCCCCCCCCCTCTCTTCCCCTCTCTCCGCCTAAATTAGTATATAAAACATTAAGAACACCTGCTCTTTCTATGACAGACTGACCAAGTGAAAGCTATGATCCCTTATTGATATCACTTGTTAAATCCACCTAAATCAGTGTAGATGAAGTGGATGAGATAGGTTAAAGAAGGATTTTCAAGCCTTGAGTGTGAATGGGCAAAACAAAATATTTAAGTGCCTTTGAACAGGGTATGGTGTACTGTAGGTACCAGGCGCACCAATTTGTGTCAAAAACTGCAACAGCGCAACAGTTTCCCGTGTGTATCAAGAATGTTCCACCACCCAAAATATTAGGAATGTGTTTCTAATGTTTGGTATACTCATTGTATACACACAGTGAGGTGTCTGAACAGCCCTAGCAGCAGACACCTCAGAACAACTGAGATGTACTTAAAGGTTTCAAGAAAAACAACAACAGGAAACCTCAAACCTTGGTTGCATCCCAAATGGCAGCCTATTCCTTACAAAGTTTTACATCTTTGAACCAGAGCCCTATGGGCCCTGGTGAAAAGTAGTGCACTAACAAGGGAATAGGCTTGTATTTAGGATGCAACCCTTATTGTTCTCTCTTTAGTACGATGATGAAAAGGAACAGAGACCGTAGCACAACATTTTACATCCCTGAAGACTTGCATGCATCACTTCTCACTTCTCAATCTCACAGATGTACAAAAGGATTGTAGCTTTGAACCAATTTATTTGAAGTTTGAAATCATACAGAACATGTACACTAAAACAAGCCCAAAATGGAACAAATACAATTGGTCTAAATACACAGAGTAAAAACAAAGATGAAGGCTATTATAGGGCTAGGACTGAAAAATACTCTTATAGGGCTAGGACTCACCGATAGCCTCTATGACCAGTTTGTATGCAGCCAGTGTCTCTCTGTCCAGGGCAACCACAGTCCGGACCACACCATTTCTGAAGCCAACACTGAATTTACCATCCTGGTTACCATCTGCAGAACACAACACACAGATGGTGGAACATTACATGTAAATCTCGGCTATTCACTTATACACATAAATGAACGCAAGTCTGCATGCACACACACACATATACACTACACTCTTAGAAAAAAAGGTGCTAAATAGAACCGTACAGGGTTCTTCGGTTTGTCCCCATAGGGGAACCCTTTTTGGTGCTGGGTATAACCCTTTGCAGAGGGGTCTATCTAGAACCCTCTACATAGGGTTCTTCAAAGAACCCACTGTATATAGTTCTACCTAGAACCCTCTATGAAGGGTTCTACCAAGAACCATTTTATAATCTAAAGGTTCTTCCTAGAACCATCTATGAAGGGTTCTACTGAGAACCCTTTTATCTTTGGAGGGTTCTTCTTAAAACACTCTATGGACAGTTCCACCAGCCTTATTAGCCTTTAAAATGTTATGATTTATGACAATACATATATAAGGCCTTTCTTTGAGGGCCTAGTAATACCCTAACACAGGGGTGTTAGGAATCTCCTGCTTTACAGGCCACACCAGACCTGCAAATTACAGTATGCTGGTTTGCAAAGTGTTGTGTAATTCCTATTGGAATCCAGCCTGAGTTAGGATATCCAACAAGTAGAATTGTTAATCACCTGCAACCTGCAATCAGAATGACTGCCAGGGATGGGAAGACTGAATACTGAGACTACCTAAATCATCTAAACTTGAACAACCATCTCACTAACGGGTGCAATAAATCCAATTACTAACAGATTGGAGTAGATTAGAAAACGGTATGTTATTTATCTTTGTGTAGCATAAAATGTATCAACCAATCAATGCAAAAACAACAGATATAACAGTAAAACAAACAATTCTGAAAATATCACTGCAATAGAGCATGCTGGGAAATATGATATATGGTTATTTGTAAAAACCCTTCTTGCCTTCCAAAGAATTATTCTTTCCTTCCAAAGAACCATCAAAGAACCCTTTCTTCCAAAAAAGATTCTTAGGATGTTAAAGGTTATAGATACATAGAACCCTTGTCTTCCAAAAAGGGTTCTTCTGATTAAAACAGTTCTTAGTAGAACCCTATTCCTCCGCAAAGAACCCCTTTGGAACCCTTTTTTCTAAGAGTGTAGTGTCCACACATACACAAGGAGTAGGAAATTCACATAATACACCTCTACGTTTTGCCCAACCACTCTAGATGCACACACGTGTTTCCCAACCACTCACACACCACACACACACACACCCACTCGCACACGCACACATTTGTGGCTGCCATGGCCTTAGTTTGACCTCTGACCTGTGATGAAGTAGCTGAGCTCAGCGTTGAGGCCGGCGTCGTTGTCGAAGCAGTTGAGGTGAGCCACCACATGGTCCCTGGGGACGCTCTCCTGCAGGGACACATTGTACACTTTGGGGAAGAATGTGGGGGTCTCGTCGTTGGCATCTAGGACTGAGGGACACAGGGAGACAAGACAGACAGACAGACAGACAGACAGACAGACAGACAGACAGACAGACAGACAGACAGACAGACAGACAGACAGACAGACAGACAGACAGACAGACAGACAGACAGACAGACAGACAAAGAGAGACACATAGACTCTGAGTTATCATGTTTTCATATTCATCTTTGTAAAATAAATGTAATCATGCGCAGTAGGCGGACAAGACAAGTAACACATTTAATAGATTCTCATTAATCTCTCAGCACTTCTAAAAGATCTGCTTCAGACCAGCAGGTTATACTCTGCAAATCTCTGCGAGTCTTGAATCAGTCTTTACATGGTGCAAAGTTTGTATGTTGGTCTAGCCGTGTCCTGTATTCACATATCATCTGAAAGTAGGTGTGGTGATCTAGGATCAGGTCCCCACTGTCTTAGTCATTATGATCTGAAAGGCAAAACTGATTCTAGATCAGCACTCCTACTCTGAGACGCTTTATGAATACATGCCCTGACTATTGCATACCTGTGATGGTGAGGGTGCTGGTGGAGGTGCGTGGTTTCTGCCCTTTGTCGTATGCCACAATCCTCAGGTGGTACTGGCCAATCTGCTCGCGGTCCAGCGTTGCTGTGGAGTACAGCACGCCCGTGGTGCTGTTGAGATAGAAGTCAAGGCGTGGCATGCCCACCAGTAGCGCCATGGTAACCATACCATTCTCCTCCTCATCAGGGTCATCCACCTGGATCTGAGGGAGGAGAGGAGAGAGGGATTGAGGGAAAGGAACGGAGAGGGAGAGAAAGAGGGAGAGAAAGAGACAGAGAGGAGGAAGGGAGAGGACAGAGAGAGAGAGGAGAGGAGGAGAGAAAGAGGAGAGGAAGGGAGGAGAGGTGAGATAGTAGAGGAGAGGGGGTAGGGTGAGAGGGGAGAGGAGTAAGAGGTGTGTGGATAGGAAACAGAGGGGACAGAGAGCGAGAGAAAGATGGAAGTGGTGCGGTGAACAGAAGTGAGAGGAGGACATGACAGACAGTTACAGAAACAAAGGAGATTTTTCAATTAGCCTTCACACACACGCACTGTCATGATATCAGTTTAATCTGCCACACTGGCATGTATTGATGACATATCATGGAATGAGGCCCGTCAGACATGCCAGTGTCGTGGATTAATCTGATTAATCTGATACAAAGACACAGGCAACTAACTCTAATAATATCTTGTAATGGTGTGCTGACCTTGAACACAGAGGATCCACTAGGCAGGCCTTCTGGCACCTCGGCCACAAAGGGCAGGTTAAGGAAGGTGGGGTCGTTGTCATTCAGGTCCAGCAAGTTGACGTACACCGTGGTGCTGACTGAAGAACGCAGTGGAGGTCTGCCAACTGGAGGGGGCGCCAGAGGAATAAACACAGCATTTACAAGAGCACAAAACGGCAATAAAAGTTTTACCATCAATATTAAAGTAGAAGGAAGATTTGGTTGAAACAGTGTTATTGCAGAGACTCACATATAAACTGACACTGTAATTTAGATACTGATACAGTAGGCTGACAGATTTACACACTCTTCAGCTCCAGACAGACACACACACACACACACACACACACACACAAACAAACACATGAATAGACAGACAGACGTCTCAGTCCCAGCTAGACAGACAGACAGACAGACAGACAGACAGACAGACAGACAGACAGACAGACAGACAGACAGACAGACAGACAGACAGACAGACAGACAGACAGACAGACAGACAGACATACAGACAGACAGACAGACAGACAGACAGACAGACAGACAGACAGACAGACAGACAGACAGACAGACAGACAGACAGACAGACAGACAGACAGACAGACAGACAGACAGACAGACAGACAGACAGACAGACAGACAGACAGACAGACAGACAAATAGACACACAGACCGACCGACCAACCAATCTACCAACAGACAGACAGACAGAGTTCTGGCCTGGGTTGGGACTCACTGTCGACAGCAGACACGATGATGGTCCTCATGTGCAGGGTGTCTTTGGGGTTGGAACTCTCTCTGTCCAGCACAACCCCGCTGGTCCTGATCTTCCCTGTGCTGCTGTTGATGGTGTAGAAGGGGTTCTCTGGGCTGATGCTGTACACCACTGTCCCATTGTCCCCATCGTCTGGGTCTATTGCTAGCACCTGGGGGGATTTATGAGGGAGGTGGGGGGAAGGGGAAGTGGGGAGAGGAGGGAGTGGGGTGGAGGAGAGGAGGGGTTTGGGGGGAGAGGAGAGGAAGGAGAGGAAGGAGGAGGCAGGGCGAGGAGGGGGTAAGGAGTGAGAAGAGATAGGAAGAGAGAAGAGCGGATAAGAAATAAGGAGGAGTTAGGGGAGAGAGGAGGAATAAGTCTTAGGGGGCTTTCACACCAAAATGGTTTGGTGCGTTTTTTTCCAAATGGTTTGGTGCGTTTTTTTATTTTGGTTCGTTTGGACTGGTGTGAACATTATATCCACACCGTGGTTCGCTCAAAAAGGGTGGTTTCACAGTGGTGCAGTTCGCTGCCAGTGAGAACGCAGTCCAGACCAAACACAGGGTTGCACGTTATTATTGGTTGTTTGACTGCGAGCATGTGACAAAATGCACGCAACATCATAACTTGAGCAACATTATGTGAGTAGCAGCACATTTAAGAGTGCATCCGATGCAGATTAGGAAAAAGGCAGAGGTGTATGTTTCATGATTAACTACTCATGGTGTGACTGTGGTAACGTACAATACCTTAAGTCATTTTGTTCACCCAACCTAGAATAACTCAATCAAATGCCAACCGCATTACCTCCCGAGAGTATTCTCTTCGGTCATCGTCACAGCTGTATATATTCCCCCTCAAGCCGATACCACGACGGCTCTCAAGGAACTACACTGGACTTTGTGCAAACTGAAAACTGCATATCGTTAGGCTGCATTTATTGTAGCTGGAGACTTTTATAAAGCAAATCTGAGGAAAACGCTACCAAAGATTTATCAACACATTGCCTGCATTACTCGCGCATCAAAAACTCTCGACCATTGTTACTCTCCCTTCCGGAATGGCTACAAGGCCCTCCCTCGCCCTCCCTTCAGCAAATCAGATCATGCCTCTATTCTGCTCCTCCATTCCTATAGGCAGAAACTCAAACAGGAAGTACCCGTGGTAAGGACGGTTCAAAGCTGGTCTGACCAATCGAAATCGATGCTTCAAACTAGTTTTGATCACGAAGACTTGGACATGTTCCGGGTTGCCTCTGAGACATTGACGTATACACTGACACTGTGACTGAGTTCATGAGGAAGTGTATCCACCTAATTTTGGAGCGCTGCTATGGGCACAGCCAAACAACGGAAGTGATGGATTCGTCTTCAGCTTTACTTCCCTACCACAGCATGCTGGTGGCAAACATTTATAGAGTATAAAAGTCAAGTAAACAAGTATAAGTGTAAGTGTATAAGTGTAATTGTATATTTATTTAATTCAAGTTCACAAATGTTATCTAGACCTACTAGTAGGCTAGTTCTGTTGTGATAATAATTTTAGTTGTGCTGTGGTAGAGTTAATTAAGGCCCGGGCCATCCACCAAGCCAATAACTATAACGATAACTATAATGATAAACTATAGGCTACATAACTATAAAACATTGGTGAGCATCCACACTAGAGGAAAGTTTATAGTTTATTGGTCTACAGTCCTACACCTGTCAATCAACTGATCAACGCATCCTACTGCATTAATAAGGCTGTAACAGAAGACCATTCATGAGGTCTCTAACGCACAGACAAAGACAGTACAGTTTGAAGATAGGCAGAAACTGCTTCTCCAATAGAAATCCCTGATCACACTTGTAGGCGATGTCATGTCGACGTTGGCTAGCTAAGCTCGTGCAGGAATGCATCATCTGGTCTCTCGTGCCGAACTGTGCATGTGCAGGCTGTCAAATCAAAGGCATGCCTTCGATATAAAGTAGTTTTTGGCGAAAATTAAAACGTGTCAGTTTGTCACTTTCACGAGGTTGGAGAAATAACATGTTCAACTACTTAAGACATTGGGTTGAATCTAGGTTGTGTCTTTAGATTTCGAGAAAATTAACATGTAAGGAAGAATGTTTAACTTCTCTCATTGACGTCTCTAACCCCAAACCCCAGACTGGTCTACTTGATCTGCTTCGAAGCGTTCCCCGAAGTCTTGCAATGTTCTGCCTCTGGGTTTAGAAACTCTGTGGCACAGATACTGGTTCAGAGTGACCATTCAGTGCTTTCAGGGTATGTTCATTGTCATAGTGACAACTGCAAATAATACTTCAATATACATGTAGGTCTAATGAAAAATAATATAGTAACTAATATTTAAATGTAGCAATTAAACAACAAACACTATTTAGCCTGCACATCTTTTACAGCATGTCATTGCCTTGTTGCTCAAATGGTTTGCAAGTGATTTCTATTTTTCTAATGGTTGTCAATTCCTTTGGGTCTTCTTTTTCACTGTGTTCATCTCTGTATGACCTGTGCAACTATTTGCAATGCATCAGTGCAACAATGTTATCATAACCAGCCAAAAGTGATCACACCAATGCACTTTCTCTCCTCAACTTTCCCCGACATGCATTTTCAAGGCCTGTTTTACATTAAGCAATTAGCAAGTGCAAGCCAGCTTATTTCCCCTAATAAACTATTAGGCCTAGTATAAAAAAGTATCAAAATAAATGTCCTATAGCTTTTGTAGCCTATAGCTTTTCCTGGGATTTCACGAGAAGAGGAATGGCCTATTTCTGAGAAACTTGCATAGCATATAGCCTGTTGCACACGGGAACAGCTGGTAGGGAGAGGCTAGCGATGTGTAGCCGAAGTAATAAGCTAAATATTAGCTAGATATTAGGCCATTCATTAGCTAAATATTACGGCTATAGGTTAAATATTTACCTGTCAGCGTGCAATAAAAATAGGTTAACAGATTATGAAATGGCAGATCTGTAGTGTGTTCCTCCAGGCTGCGCTCTGTGGTCCCCGGGCACACAAAGCTCCACTATTGATTAGGTCTATGTTTTTAGACAAGAACATTATTATACCTTGGCTACAACAACACAGTGCAATTAGGAATTTATTACTGTTATCAAATGAATTCGCAATTATTGTCCATAGGCTGTGAACTGCAGTAACAGCATAGGCCAACAGCGTAGGCCTGATTATGCAACCATTTGGATAAGTTTGGGTCTATTCTCGACAGTTTAGAAGGTCCAGAAAGGTACATTAGGAGGCCACTCATATGGTGTAGGCCTATTTTGTCAGGATGTAGCCCGGTGTTAAGATAGACCTACTATAGGAAAAGATGGGCTTCTCCTTTTCAACTCCCCCGTTAAATCTATAGCCTGGTGTACATTCAGCAAGCAAGAGCAAGCTTGCATCTCTCCTCCAATAGGCTATTAGTAGGCTAAAGAAAATAAGTTGAAATAAAGGTTCAACAAGCTTTTGTAGTCTTGCTTTTCCTGGAATTCCACAAGATTTAAAACGAATAGCCGTGGCAGCGGAGAGGCCAGGTGCGTACTTGCGCAACAGAACAATGAAGACAGACAGGCTCGACATGTAGCCTACTATAGCCTTAGAAGTTAGAAGTGTATGCATATTAGCCCATAATTCATAAGCTCAATGTTAGGCTTAATACCGCAGTGAATATATCCAGTAAATTTGCACAGCGAAATAAAAAAAGTTGATCATATGTGACTTGTTTCAGGAAAATAGGCGTCTGTCGCGCGTCACTACTTCACAGGAGAGCCATTTGAACGTAAACTTTTTTAAAATCAAAATGCGTTTTTTTGTCAGAAATGCCTTCTGGAACATGTGAACTTTCATGTGCCTTAATAACAAACTTGTATGGCATCTGTAAATATGAATAACAATGTTAAATTACGAGTCTAGTTGGTTTAGCCACAGAAAAAAACAGCAACCTTCCCGCTAGCCATGATTGGCTGAGATAATGAGTGGGCTGGACATGCCGAGAGATCGAGTTTTGAAATCAGTGGAATTAAAGTATGATAGCTAAGGAGATTACATCTTCAAACTAAGGGCAACCATGGCATCCGTGACAGAGAGGGTGAAGCGTCCATCCATGTTTACGGGTAAGATAGTCTAGCTAGCTACATTTTCAGATATTACACGTTTCTGATTTTGTTAGAAAGTGTACTGTTAGCTAGCTAGCTAACCTTAGCTGGCTGGCGCGCTAGCTAACATTACATGTATGATCTGTGCAGTAATATTATTTGTATCTCAGAGCCATTTGCTTTGCTATTATAGCCTAATGTTAGCTAGCTAACATTGAACCTGGTTGGTTAGCTACCTGCAGATTCATGCAGGGTAGTAATGTCATGAGTTGGGATTATGGTTCATTGTTTAGCTAGCTAGCTACATGTCTAAACAAAAGACTCCACTATGCAAGTAACCATTCCAATAGAATGTTCATGATGTCAATGCGACAACTGTTGATAGACGTAGCTGGTAAATTCGCTCTGGCTATCTACTCCGATTTCAGAGCACTCTCCTCTGAGTGTGCCAGAGCGCAGAATAACTTACAAATTTACGAATGCTCAACACCCGTTAAATATGGTGTCAGTAAACATTGGCAAAAAAGCGTAATTAAATTGTTGCCAGCAGCACAGTTGCAGTCACTCTGGATAACAAAAAAACTGTCTTAGCAGCTCTGCTAGGGCAAGTAAAATGGTCAGTGAGCTGTTCTCTCATTTGTGTCTGGAAGTAGCAAGCAAGCTAGCCAACTTTAGCCAGTTAGCTTGGGTGCTTGGCTGCTGTTGTTAGGACAGAATGCTCGGATCAACCCTACTCCTCAGCCAGAGTGTCCAGTGTGCGCGCTGAACGCTCCGAGAGAGAAATGCTCTGAATTTACGAACGGACAATCTGACAATGCTCTGAGTTTAAGGGCGGAGCTATAGCTTAAGAGGGTGTGAACAATGCTGAATGGGTGTAGACAAAGAAGAGCTTTCCAGTGGGTGTACCAAAACATTCAAAGGCCATTTTCTCAAAAGTGAGGTTACAAGTTTATTAACTTTCAAAGAAGAATTACTTTTCTATTGTTCCTCAACTGTAGTGTATGATATACCATTTTCTAGATCTGAGTCTCTATTTTTATCGAATGTAAAATCACAATTTCAAATTTTGCTACATAAGACCAAATCGAGCCGGTCGGTCACATATAAAGAAATCATAAGTAGCCTACACTATGTACGCTCACAAGGCTGCGCACCCTCCCAGTCCCCGAAAAGCTACCCTATTGTTTCAGTTTTTTTAGGGGAAAGAAAATTATCCTACCTAGGCTACAACAACACAATGTAATGAATAATGTTATTGTTTTCAAGTGAGTACAAAACTCTAGTCTGTAAACTGCAGTGAATAAATAGACTGTCATTTGAATAACCGCTCAAAAGCCTGGCATTTAGAATGCATATTCATTTCAAAATAAGTGCATCTAGGTTGCCTGATTGGGCAACCATTTGGATCAGTTATGGGGTTTATCTCGGCAGTTTAGCCTACAAAGTCCAGGCACATTAGCAGGACAGTAATATGGTGTATTTTACTATGATGTATCAGCTAACAGAAACATGCTAAAGCAGGGATTTCTAATGGGGTGCATATGAATAATGATAATGCACGAGTGCGGAGGAAGTTGTATCCATAGTTTCCGCATTTGGCTTCTGTGTTTTAAAAGCGTTCACACATGAGGTGGATAGGGGATGTTGTTCCCACTGTGATGATTAAAACCTATCCAATGTTCTCTAGTTGCACCGTGATTGGCTCAATGTTTTGTCACTCATGGGGACACTACGTCTACGTAGAATCTACGGGGAGAGCTAAAAAATTAAAGCCCCTTGGGTGCTGCCATAGCGTTACATTAGAAGTGCCCATTCAAGATGGCTTAAGGTCATTGGCCACAGATAAAATGACATCAAATCACATTATATCTACCACAGCGTTGATTGGACCGATCATGTCAACATCCTACTTTCAAAATCTTAGCTAGCAAGCTAGACAACCAGTGATAATCATGAATCAAGTTGACAGTCTACTGGCAAATCCTTTTTAATCCTTGTCATATGAAGAGAAATGATGGATATAATATATTGGTGCTCATCGGCTATTGGACATAAACGTTACACAATAAGTTGGAAATCGCAAATTCAACAATGAGTTGTTTGGAAGAAATCAGTGGCTAACTGCAAGCATTGCAAAGCAATCACTAGCCTGCTATTCAGTGGAGTGGGTGTGTGGTCCAAGTCTGGGTTTAAGGGTATCTTTTCCAAGCTTAAAAGGATAAACATTCAACACCATGGGCCAGAAAAGGTTGAATACATTGGCCATGCTGTCAATCCAGCATGACTTCGAGCATGAAACTCTGAAAATCTCAGACTTCAGTGAGTTCAAGACAACTGGGAACTCTGAAAAAAACGAGCTCCGACTGGGAAAATACTTTTTGAATGGTCATCCAACTAGGAATTCCAAGTTGGGAACTCTGGCCTCTTCTAGAGCTCCGACCTGAAGATCACTGATGTCATGATTCAACCTTGTTTTTTTAGAGTTCCCAGTTCTTGAAAGCACCATACATCCAGAGAATGCCAGACTTTGATGACAAAGTTTGATGACAATATTTTCCCACAAGAAGGACCGCCGCACCACCTTCCTGATCAAGTGAGCACAGCACAACAAAGTGAGTCCAAAAATGTATTGTATGCTGCTGCATAAATGATGTAATATGCCAGGGAGATATGTATATTATAGCTAAGAAAGTAATACTAAGTGTATGTTGTGTAGTAAGCTGTTAGTAGCCCATGTGCCTCACCCTCATAATTTGGTCCCTTTCCCCCTCATAACTTAGCCTACTGTTCTGACATGTAGCCTATAACTTGTTTTTGAGAAATGTAATCATCGAATATTGTAAGAGCTTTCATTGTCTGATTATACCCCGCTCCTCCGCACACTCCACTGGCTTCCAGTTGAAGGACGCATCTACTACAAAACCATGGTGCTTGCCTACGGAGCTGTGAGGGGAACGGCACCTCCTTACCTTCAGGCTCTGATCAGTCCCTACACCCAAACGAGGGTACTACGTTCATCCACCTCTGGCCTGCTAGCCCCACTACCTCTACGGAAGCACATTTCCCGCTCAGCCCAGTCAAAGCTATTCGCTGCTCTGGCACCCCAATGGTGGAACAAGCTCCCCCACGACGCCAGGACAGCGGGAGTCACTGACCACCTTCCGGAGACACTTGAAACCCTACCTCTTTAAGGAATACCTGGAATAGTATAACAGTAATCCTTCTACACCCCCCCTCCCCCAGTGGTGGTTGTCCCACTGGCTATCCTAAGTTGAATGCACCAATTTGTAAGTCTCTCTGGATAAGAGCATCTGCTAAATGACTTAAATGTTAAATGTTATGCCCACTTTATTTATCCTACGGTTCGGACTTGGTGTACAGGGAGAATACTGTAAGAACGGCCCCTGTTCTGAATTCTGTCGCTGTACATTTCAAAAGTGCTGAAAAAATAGCTATATTGACTACGTCCGTCCTAGCTCGCTCATTAATGTCTTAAGCGAAATTACGGATCGCCTCATATCCGCTAGTCGTCACCTTATGCCATAGTTTGTACATCTCAATTGTCAGTAGAAACCACATTTGATTAAGCAAGATAGCCATATCAGCTATGTTTTTTAAAAAGGCAGTAAATGAGGCTGAATGAACTGTTTGGCTGCCAGACAAAGCTCGGCTGACAGCCAGGTGTAGCAGTGGTAAGGATTTACTCCATGGTGCTGAGAAGAAAGCTCTGCTGTTGGGACAGCTTTATGTACAGTTGAAGTCAGAAGTTTACATACACCTTAACCAAATACATTTAAACTCAGCTTTTCACAATTCCTGACATTTAATGCTAGTAAATATTCCCTGTCTTAGGTCAGTTAGGATCACCACTTTATTTTAAGAATATGAAATGTCAGAATAATAGTAGAGAGAATTATTTCTTTCAGCTTTTATTTATTTCATCACATTCCCAGTGGGTCAGAAGTTTACATACACTGAATTAGTATTTGGTAGCACTGCCTTTAAATTGTTTAACTTGGGTCAAATGTTTTGGGTTGCCTTCCACAAGCTTCCCACAATAAGTTGGGTGAATTTTGGCCCATTCCTCCTGACAGAGCTGGTGTAACTGAGTCAGGTTTGTAAGCCTCCTTGCTCGCACATGCTTTTTCAGTTCTGCCCACACATTTTCTATAGGATTGAGGTCAGGGCTTTGTGATGGCCACTCCAATACCTTGACTTTGTTGTCCTTAATCCATTTTGCCACAACATGGGAAGAATGCTTGGGGTCATTGTCCATTTAGAAGATCCATTTGCGACCAAGCTTTAACTTCCTGACTGATGTCTTGAGATGTTGCTTCAATATATTCACATCATTTTCCTTCCTCATGATGCCATCTATTTTGTTAAGTGCACCAGGCCCTCCTGCAGCAAAGCGCCCCCACAGCATGATGCTGCCACCCCCGTTCTTCACGGTTGGGATGGTGTTCTTCGGCTTACAAGCCTCCCCTTTTTCCTCCAAACATAACGATGGTCATTATGGCCAAACAGTTCTATTTTTGTTTCATCAGACCAGAGGACATTTCTCCAAAAAGTACGATCTTTGTCCCCATGTGCAGTTGCAAATCGTAGTCTGGCTTTTTTTATGGCGGTTTTGGAGCAGTGGATTCTTCCTTGCTGAGCGGCCATTCAGGTTTTGTCGATATAGGACTCGTTTTACTGTGGATATAGATACTTTCGAACCAGTTTCCTCCAGCATCTTTACAAGTTCCTTTGCTGTTGTTCTGGGATTGATTTGCACTTT